TACTGTTTGGCTATTTAATGAGGAGTCACAGCTCTGATAAAAAGTAAAAATAAATGGAGAAGGCTGTAAAATCATTTAATGTCTCTATCAGTCAGTTTAGACTAGGATCTGCTGCAGCAACAGTCTCCAAGTTGCAGTGGTTTACAAAAACCGAGGCTTGTTTCCTGACCATGCGGACAGGTCCGGCTAGGTCAGCAGGGAGGCCCTGCTCATGGTTCTCACTCAGAGATCCAGACCCTTTACTGTGCCGTCATTTCCGCACATATTACACAATTCCTGAGGCAGGGGAGGAGCGGTCATGGAGAATAACAAATGGATTTTAGATTATTCTACCTAGAAGCGAAACGCTTCACTTTTCTTTGGCCAAAGCAACTCACACAGCAAAGAGGCAAAGAAGTATAATCTTCCAGGTTCCTGGAAGTAGAGAAGAACAGCATTTTGGGGATCACTATGTCTACCATAGTCCACCCTTTTGTTCACCAGGTACTGGGTTCATTCTCCGTGCACATGTAATATCTTCACCCTCTCCCTAAGGGAGGGCAGCCAAAAGTTCTATCCTCTCAGAGTGTGTAGCTCAAAGTCTAGAATTTCTAAATGGTATACTGTAGTTCATCATATAAGGTCTGAAAGGGTAGAAGAGAGCAGGAACATAGCACTAAATACTTCTATTTGGAAAAAGAAAGAGTGGGAGAGGCACAGTAGTTTTGACCTGTGGCAACCTTGAAATCCTGCTTGGCTGACATTGTGGGGATTCTGCAGCCAGGGCGTGTAGGAAGTTCTTGAATCAGACCCGAGAGGGGCCCAACTCCCAGGAACTTTTTGTGATCTCCAGCTCCAACCCCTGGGAGGTAATTTTGCCCCGATAATCTCTTTGCCACAGCTGTAACAGTGTCAGCAATATGCCTTCCCTGGTGCCTTCGTTCCTGCTCCTAGGTGGTTAGGGGGCTGAGGGTTGGTTCCCTAATTAATCCCTAATTAATCATTACTTCATGATTAATTTCAAGAACTCTTTCACAAATTCAGTAAGCTTCTTATCTAAATTGGTTCTTTTGTGGCATGCCCAGAATAACCCAGAATATCTCTGTTTCTTTGCCTTGCATTCCTCTAACTCTCTCTCTGTCTCGATTTAGTGGTGGTTTACTAGAACTATACCCTAAACTCTTTATTCTGAGCTCTTTTATTCAGTTAAAAGGATGTAACAGATGCTTCATGTTAAGTCTTGCCCACAGGAAATTTATTTGGTTGAAAGGGTTTACTGGACATTTCTCCCTCAAAGGCTTTTTCAATCTTATCTTTTGCTTTTGGGGGATAGAAATTGTTGTTGTTGTTGTTTAATCTTGCAAGGCTCTGAATTTCTGGACTCCCTTCATTCTCTTGTTTTTGTTTGCAAACCTGCCTATTCTTTCCTGAACTCCTCTCTTTCTTGTATTGCCTTGCCAGATGCAGAAAATAGCATCCACACACAGAACTAACATTCTGTTTTCTAGTCAGTTCCTCTAGAACTTTTGTATGTCTAGGTACAGTATCTGCCTCTTAAGTCATTGCAGGGAATAATTCTGCCCAAAGTTTTTCCATTGCATAGGGCAGGTCGCCACAGCCTGCCACTTGGCCTCTGTGACAGTGCCACTATTTTAGCCTTTTGCTTTGGGTGCCCTTCACTTCTAGGCATTAGTTTCTGTATCCACATATATAGTACTAGGTTATGGCAGCATGTCTTGATTTGAGTAAACATACAAATTCTTCTTAAAATTATTTTTTAATTATAGTTTACCTTCAATATTATTTTATATTAGTTTCAGGTGTACAGCACAGTGGTAGACAATCATGTATTTTACAAAGTGGTCCCCTTGGTATTCTCAGTACCCCCATGGCACCACACATGGTTATCACAATATTATTGACTATATCATCTATGTTGTACTCTACATCCCCTTGACTATTTTGTAACTACCGATTAGTATTTCTTAATCCCGGCAACTTTTTCACCCAGCCCTTTCTCCCCATAAAAACTTCTTCAGGTTGGACATTTAAAACTGAATGTGTTTAACCACTAGGTTTTCTTTCTGCTACATTGTTAGCATTTAATCTACTGGGAACATTTTATTAACCCTTACTTATTTTCATTGCCTAGATCAGCACTGTTCAATATACATATCACGAAAGCTGTATGCAGTTTTGTAACAGCCATCGGTAGGCAGTGAGATTTCGCAATAGCTGTCTTTGACGTCTGGAGTCTTGCAGGTGATCCTTGTCTAGCTAATCCTACAGGTTGCCAGTGACCTGACACTTTATGATTCATGTGATCCTCTCTATTCCTGTTACATAGGGCTGACATGACTACTGGATTGAGCAAAAATTATTTTTAAAAGCTATGTACACATTAGAAAAGATACTAATTTATAGGTCATTTCAAAGAAAGCTTATGGGAACAAAACCAGGAACTCTTAATGCTGTGACCTAAGATTAAAATTCTCCATGTGATGTAGCATTCCCTCAATAGTGCTATGTTTTCAGATATAAGATAAATAAATAAAACTAAATGTGTACATTTAACTATACATATCTCCAACAATCTCATGTCATTATGTTCTTGGTTACTCTGTGTGTGTTTGCTTTCTTTCCATAATAAGATTTTAAACTAATTAAAGTAAAGACTATAATAGTACAGTCTATTACCTGTAATGGCCTGAACAAACATGTAGTTGGGCATTAAAAAAATCTTGCTAACATGGATAATTGACCAGCAAAATGCTTTACCTCATGTGAGGTTGTGTGTAACTCATTTTTGGAACTGCAGAGTACCAGCTGCCTCTCTGTGGGCCCTTGCATTGTGTGTAGAGTGCCCTAGCTGTCACTGTGTTGAGTGGTGTCTCCACTTGCTTTACGGAAACTCTTAAAGCTGGTAACAGCTTGGGTCATGGCTGGTACATGCCAGTTAGTGAAGAGCTTCCAACACCGTCAGTGGTGTGTTCATTATATATTTGGCATTGTGTCCCCAGTATTAGCACATGATTTATACTATAGATCAAATAATGATCTGAATCTGTTGATTCACTTCAAACCTGGTGAAAGCTGGTTACTGGTTTAACCTCTTAAGTTAGTTACTTTTACCTTGATGAGTGAAAATGCTGTTACATCCTGTGACCACAGGATGTAAAACATCCATGTTTGCTTCTTTCTTACACAAAAGACCATTTAGTCTTCCCCAGCAATCCAGAAAATCCTCTTGTATTACATTAGGCATTTTTAATACAAGGTAATTTACTTGTTCCCTCTTTCAAGAGAGCTGGTGTAGTCTTCTATGCATGTCTCTGAATGGATAAGAGACCCTTGAAGAAGGTGAATGGTTCAGCCACTCTAATATATGTTTAAGGGTCTATTGCATATATTGCTTTGGTAGCATGAGTGATACATGAAAACATGGTTCCTGTTTTCATGGTGTTAGTTTTACTGAATGTGTGGAAGGATGTATCTGGTGAAGTCTTAAAAATTCTCTATCAAATGGGTTTAAGCACTTCAGTCTAGCTAGATGGGGCTGGCTAGGAGACCTGTCTTGAATCTGTGTATCCATAAAAATATACTGTTTTAATTTAGATTATATATTTGGGGATGCACATTTAGAGAAGGAGACTGGTAGAGATTATTGGGGGGAAACTAAAGTTACCCCAAGGCCATTGAATATGCCAGAGAGTCCTCCTAAAACATATAAGCAAGTGTGAAATAAACTAATTATGAGCAGTGAGGTAATGAGAAAGGGATGATGCCTTAAAGAATAATTCAAGAAAGTTTTTTTATAGGACTTAAACTTTTGATTGTTTCAGAGGAGAGGGGCAGAGAAGAATCCACAGTCATGGAGAATAGAAATGTGGATGAAAGGCCCATCATTACAAAAGAATTTTGATAAAATTTGGAGGGTCTTCCAATGAACCCAAGAGATGCTTCTTCATTTTTTCAGTTAAAGAAAATGGGGGAAAGTTTGTCAAACATGTGATAGATGAAAATAACTTTGCTGTGATAGAATGTGTCTTGCTATTTTGGACAAGCATGCATATTTTTACTTAATCTTAATGGATATAAAATACTAAGTTACTATTATTTCAAAATATCTGTGTATTACTAAGGTAAATACCTGGCACATAGCATGTGCTTAATAAATGTTTGTTGACCTGCACTTAACTGAGACAAATTAAATTTTTGCAGGCTATTTAAAATTACACATCAGAGCATTTAAAGGCTCTACTTGCTAATCCATTTAGTTTTAAAAATCATCCTCAATCAGAGATAGCCAAGATAGTGGTCATTTATATGTTGTATTAATAATGATTATTTATTAAGCATCAGTAGGAATCTAACCATTGGGTTAAGATAGAATTAGTTCAGATTACCACGAAACTATCTGGGGATATAACTTCCGAATCTCTCACTGATGTCATTCATTTCTTTGGTTTTGTTTTTCCATTCTTAAATTGGAGCTAGATGGAGGCCTGCCGTTTAATACCAAGGCCTCTCTAAGGATGACTTGTCTCCCACTTAAATCATGGTTCATATTGCATGACTAGAAAGTAGAACATACGGTTCATGTCAAGAGGCCTTAGCCATTTGTGGAAGACCATAAAATATCATGACAGCAATTTTTAACTATTGGTTAAATCTCTGTAGCAAATTAGTTAAGGACTTTGCTGTGATTTGAGGGTAGTGGGGGTGGAAATGGGGGTAGAAGAAAAGAAAGGTCTGGTCCTTTTTCCGTCATCTCTTTTGGGGTCCCCCTTTAATTTCCCTTCAGGAAGTGGAATAGAAAAAGAAACTACATTCGTCAGTCACTTCAGGGCAACCACAACCTAAGAGTGTAAGCAGGTCAGTTGAAACAAGGACAGTGGTTGCTATAAAACCAACAGGTATTCTCACTGACACAACACAGGTCTACTCACGGAACACACAGAAGGAGCTTACTGCACGAAGCAGGCAGCCAGAGGAAAACAGCAATGACTATCCTGCATAACATGGCTGTGGTGAGTAGTAACAACAATTTTTGTTTAGGTACAGTTACTCCCTAGGATTCCAGAAAAGCAGAATTGTAGGGAATTAGGTTCTATTGGGGGTATTTCTTTTCAAAACAGAGCTGGCTTTAATTTCACATCTGCCTGGTGGAGAAATAGAAAATATAGCTAGAAGTTATAATGGGGTATAAATCAGCTCTTTACCTGGTGGCTTTTGCAGAGTTGGTGTCACAAACCATGTTATCTCTCCTGTGGCCACCCTTGTAGAGATAGACTGGCTTAAAAATCTAATCTCATGCGGGAGTCTAGCCAGCTATTAGGAGATACATATCAAGGAACTTGGGGTCCAAAGAGGTGTAATGATTTCCCCACGACTACAGTAGAGAAGGAGTGCCCTGCGAGGGAAGTGAGACCATGCCATGATGAGCTTTGGACAGCTCCCAGGGTAGGGGAATTTTCCATGTCTGTGGTAATGGATTACTTTTGCTCTCTCATTCCTCTGAGGAGAGAGAGATGTTAGTGTGATGGAAACCTACCTCCCCGGGTCTAGAATCTTGCCTGGGAAGTAAGACCTGGGGAGACTTTTTAATATAGAAGAGAATGAAAACAGAGCTTGGGAAGTCACTCACCATCTTATTGCCTTAAATAATCCCCCTTTTTTAAATTCCCCTGTTAATAGGCCATGCAACTTAAAAGAGCTTGGGTTTCATAAAAAAGTCATGGTGTATGGTAATGATAATACTTACATTTACATATTGTTTTAGAGATGACAAGAAATGCAATAAAGTGCAGCATTTAGGGGCATAGGCTTTGGAGTAAGACCTAGTTCCACAACTTACTAAATGTGGGATTTGGGGTAAATTTTAACCACTCTGCATTTTTATTCCCTTTATCAGTATTGGGCAGTAATAATGGTATGCCCCACATGGGATTGGGGGGGATTAATTAATACCATTGCAAATAACTAAATCTATACTCTGAAATAGCAGATCTATGCATACATAGTTTTCAGTTAACTTGGCCATTTTAGTACAACAGTAAAAGAAGATTGAGAAAGTATCCAGTGAGTTTAAATATTAGTATAATAACATTATTGTTGTTTTTACCTCTGAGACTTCTCATCAACCCAGTGGATAGGTTGGGAACTAGTTTCCCCATTATACACATGAACAACACCTCAAGTTGAATGATTTAATACCACTGGGTGCTGTTCACACAAGAACTGGGACATGGACCCAATTTTAATGGCTCCAGGTACAGTATTCTTCTCCTTGAATGGTTCAGAAGCAAGATTTCTGAACCTCTCAGAGAAGTGTTGTATATGTTCTTAAGAACTAGGAAGAGCCTTATCAGAGCCTCTGTTCTGTATTACATCACCACTCACATCTATAGTTTCAGAGCCACAGCTTTGAGAGCAAACTAGAGGACTTTGCAGATATCCTCTGATTTCCTGATAACAGGCCATGTGACCTATGACACGTGTGCATTCCTGACACAGCTGTCACATTGCTTAAAATGATTGGCTCCTCTAGTAGGACAAAGCTAAGAGTAAATACCTGTGAGTGGCTATATGTTAGTAACAACGATGAGGGTCTACAATTGCAATAGCAGTGACCACTGAGAGTTAGGTTTGAGCCCCCAGACTGTCACTAGCAGGCTAGTGAAGCCAACCAGGTTACTTGTTTCCTCTCAAACACAACTTTTTCACCTGTTTAATGGGAATAATTACCTCACCAGCTCTACCTACTCAACGAGAAAGTTGGGAGAATCTGAAGTTTAAAGAGAGGTGAAAGTGTTTTCTAAAATACTCAACATAAGCAAATGTAATAACAACTTATTAGAAGCAGGGAAATTTTTGCTAAATCATATAACCGCAAGGTCCAGTTATTTGAAAGCTTTGGTAAGAAATATAACAAAGACTTAGTGAACATGATGCAGAAGAGAAAAGAGAAAACACAAAGGAGGAATTTATGTAAAAACTCTAAGGAAGATGGGCTTGGGAAGCTATCTAAGGACCCTCCTGTCTAAGCAGGGCATCCTTTTACTTTTTAAAACTTCATAGTGCTGTGTCCAGATAGAAGGTGCATGAGGACAAATTTCATATCTTTCCTGTCCTCTGTGCATCATCAGAACAATGTTGATTTAATAATCATCGCCTGTGCTGAATATTTACCATCTGCAGCTGTGTTCTCCACACTTTACGTGGATCATATCACTCAATCTTCACATTTTCTGGTGGAGGAAACTGAGTCACAGCTAGTAAGAGTACTGGAACTGAGTTATGGACCCAGGACATCTGATTCCAGAGCCCGTGTTCAGAATCACCATACCATAGAGACAAAGTTGTTGAATGAATGAATGATTGTGGGGGATGAAAGTAGATGAGTGCTGATTATCTGAAGGCAAATCAGCCTCAGTCAGGCATATCTGGGTCAATCTCACTTTCAATGTCTTTCTAGTATCAACTACCTGGTACAGCAGGATGACACCAAAACCTTTTTGTTTGCTCTTATCATTTCTTGCCTCCAGCATCTGCAAGATAGAGAAAGGAGGTCCTTTAACCAACGTGTCTGATTGCTTCACCTACCTTAACTCATGGGAGGTGTGGGCCTGAGCAACACTTAGGCCAGACGATGAAAGCAACTCAGCTTCAGCTCTTGTTCTGCATTATGTTGAGAGTCGCTGATGGGCCTTATCCATCCCCAGGAAGGGTCCCTGGTAACAGCGAGGGGAGCAAAGCACTGTCATGACAAAGGGAAGCTGAAGGGATTTTAGCTCTTCTTTTATTTTGTAAGGTCTTCACAGAGAACTTTTTTTCTTGGTGCATGCCTGTAACACCAAATAAACCAGTATTTCAGTGCAGGTATAAAAAATATTTATGTTCTGGAGTTAAAGAGAAATAGTTCCATAGTCTCTGTTGTTGGGCATTATTAGTGCCCCTGCTTCTTTCAATTAGTGTGGATAATTGGAACTTTGCTATAGTGTTTTTCTTTGGGAGATTGTGGGAGATTAACTATATTATTAATATAACTGTATTGTTTTGTTTATTCATTCACTCAGCCGCTTTTCTCCCTTCCAGAGAGTGTTTATTAAACCCCCTATCTGTGACACGCTCTCCTGCAGGAACTTACAGTCCAGTGGGTGCTGATCTGACACCAACACAAACAGAACATTTCCAGACAGTAAAGAAAAGATGCTTGAGGGGTAGATGGTTAAATTAGACTTTCATGATTTCAGGATAAATAACATACTTTTAACTGAATTACTTTATGGACAGCTTCTGGAGGAGACCATGCCTGAGCGGGGCCTGGATGGAAGGGTGGGATTCGGAGAGATAGTGGCGGGCAGTGTGTTATAGGTGAAGGAACGACTGGAAGGAAGGATTCTGTGAAGGATTCATGGGGTATGATGTTGGAAACACGATAAAAACAAGACTCATCATTTAGTAAGCCTCTATTTTTTTGTTAGATAGATTTATGGGTGCTTTACATAGAACATTTCACTTAACCTTGTGAATATTACCATAAAGCAAGATTACCATCCGGTTGGAAAGAAGAGAAACCAGAGGCTCAGGAAGAGGCCAGGTCAAGGTTGAAACCCTGTCCCAGATCCTGTCATTGCTCTGTCTCACTGGTTAGGAGCTCCCACACTGTGTGGCTCAGCCATCAGGCTAATGAGGTTAGTTCTCAGCTTGGTGCCCTGACATTTCTGTGTATGACTGTTCCAGTTTCTAGGTGAGGATCTGAGGTTCAGAGAGAAGCTATGATCTCATAAAAGACCAGGAATGCCAAATTCAGGCACATCATGGGATGTCTCTTGCCAACAAGTGACACCAGAGTCCCTAACCAGCTACAACCTCTGCTATTTTCCAGGTCAAGTGTCTGTTGCTGTTGATATTAGAACTCACTCTCCTGAGGGAGGGGGCAGCTCGGAAAAGCATCAAAGCGGGGGGCGCTGCCCTTTGTCCTCCTCTGGAGGGCAACAGTGTGAAGGTTGACATTCGCATCCTCAGACAAAACCAGGCTGCCTCTATCTCACATGACTTCCAGAACCGCTCCAGCTCCCCCTGGGATTACAAGTAAGTGCAGAGGAAACTATCTTCACTGTCTTTTGAAAAAATATGTTAATTTATTTCAATCAGAAAGTAGAAAATTTAGAAAAGCCAAAAGCCCTCACATTTACTCTTAAAAACAGAAACCCCACTTTACCCGGGAGCTCCCATTTTTCTTGCTCTTTTGGGCTAGGTGATTGAAAGTCTTACTATTTTGCTTCCAACTTCCCATTGTGCCTTGTTCTGCTTCACGGAGTCTTTCTGTGTTGGAAGAGAGGTCTCTTTAAAGCAGCCCACGCAAACATCTCTGCATGGGAATAAGTGGGAACCAGAAAAGTTAGTTTAGACAGATCCACCCAGACTAAACAATGGTCTTCAAAGAACAAAGAAGAGGGCGGAGTGGAGGAGAAAGAGTGTTTGGGAAGTGGGGTGCTCAGTGGGAAGGTGCAGGGTAGCCTTGTGACTTTGTGTTATATATAGATTCCTAAAATATCAAGTTCATCTAAATCCTCCCAATATAAGTATAAAAACAGACTCCAGGAATAGTTACAAATGCTTCTGGGCTGCCCGTATGGCTTCCCACGGGAAGGGAGTGTGTATGGTGGCAAGTTGGCTGATTTGGCTTGACTGCCTTTATGCCCCCTGGCAAAGGAGGCTACTGAGAGAGAAAGTGAGAGAAGGCACTGGGTTTACAAGCCTCTGGGGCTTTGGTTTTCCTTTTCAAGCAGCAGACTTTGTAGACTGTATATTGGGAGGCCTACTGGTGATTTTAGTCTCTAAGAAAAGGATGGATAATAATTTTAATAATAACATTGTAAGAAATGAACTAAAAGGTCTAACATTTATTGAATGCCAACATTTTACGGTATGGCATTGAATATGCATTTGTATCACTGAATGATCTCAACAATTCCATGAGAGATATGTGAGAATCTCCATTTTATAGTTGAGGAAACTGAGGCTTAGGGAGTTAAACACCTGCCAGAGGGCTGTGTGTGAATACAGGCTGTCTGTTCCCAAGCCTGCGCTGCAGCCCTGGGTTACTCAGAACCACCGCCTTGCAGGTGACTGTCCAGTGCAGCAGAGCTCTCATCCTTTGCCCATCTTCCCCACCCTGTCTCACCACCGGCTTTTACCTGCTCCTCCTGCAGCATCACCCAGGACCCTCACCGGTTCCCCTCTGAGATTGCAGAGGCCCAGTGCAGACATTCGGGCTGCATCAATGCCGAGGGGAAGGAAGACAGCTCCATGAACTCTGTCCCCATCCAGCAAGAGTTCCTGGTCCTCCGGAGGGAGCCCCAGGACTGCTCTCACTCCTTCCGGCTGGAGAAGGTGACCGTGACTGTTGGCTGCACCTGCGTCGCCCCCATCATCCGCTATGCACGTGACCTGAGAGCTGCACATCAACTCAGCTGAAGAAGCTGTAGCAGTGCCACGCCTCACCCAGCGCTCTGCAACAAGTCCTGTGTCGTCCCCGATTCTCACCACTTCATGGGACTCTTAATGAGGTCTGAACGGAATTCTCAAAGCTTTGTATTAGGTGTGTTAACTTTCTGGGGGCTTTCCGAATGCTAACATAGTCCTGAGCTATTTCAATGTCCCAACCTCTGAAAACGAATCCAGGAGAATCTAGGAGCCCTTGGTGCACACCATTCATGTGCTGTGATGACCACCATGCGGTCGCTGTGATGCAGCACCACTCCCTGGGTGCTTTGTTGGTGCAAGGGGCCTCTGTTCCCTGCGGATAGAAACAAAGAAAATATACCCGCAACGTAATTGTGTGGGAGGAGTTGTCCACGCTGAGGCGGGGCGGGGGGGCGGGGTGGGGAGGAGGATCTAATATATACATTTATTAAGCATTTGCTAAATCTAGATGAGGTTGGCCTGATATTTATGTTTGCAATGAAATCATTCATGTTTTTGTGATATGTTGACTCTAAAATTTTAGGAGAAAAATTAATATATCAAGTACTATTATAATAAAGTATTAATGATTACAAACCACTTCGTGTTCATCTCAGATTGTACTCACAGACCTTGTAGCCCCCCAAATTTTAAGCTCTATATACCTGTCATTTTTTTCATACTTTTTCATCAGAGCACTAGTGTTAGAATTATTTCATTAGTACTATTGTTTTGTGTGTGTATGAGCTTGGTGACATTAGTCTCTTTCCAGCTTATTGAGATGTAACTGATGAGTGACATGGTGAATGTCTGAAGCACACAGTGTGGTGATTTGACACATAAATATACTGTGAAATCATCACCACACTAAGGTTAGGTAACGCCTGCATGCCCTCACAGCATTGCATTTTTTTCTGTAGTAAAACACTTAAGATGAAGTCTCCTAGCAAATTTCAAATATGCTGTGCATTAAATCCCCAGAACTCGTTCACTTTATAACTAATAGTTTGCACCCTTTGTCCATCTTCCATTTCCCTTATCCCCCACCCCTGGCAACCACCAATCTACTCTGTTTCTATGAGTTGGAGAGTTATTTCATTATTAATAGTTCTTGGGGTTTATATGGAGAATTAAGCAAAGTGGTACCATGTTCCCTGGTAGTCTTTATTGGTCCATCTCCGTAGCTAAATTGTTTTACAAAGTGAACACTTAGTGGCCACTGTGGTGGCAACTAGAGATACAAAGTATGAAATGCATATGGAAAGTCCACAATATTGGCAACGGCCACCCACAGAGCCCCTGGTCATCGGGACCATGCTGATCACTTTATACTTTCCTTGTTCTGACTTCTTTTGGGTCACTGATTGTCTGTCATCCATCTCCAATGCTTCTTGGGGACACAGGAGCTTCCATATTCTGGTCTCCATGACATTCAGAGGTTCCTTTGCACCTCTCCTGCCCAGATATGGCACACCACATTTTCTCCATTAGGGCTACCGTCCCACTGGTTCAGAGCACCTCTCACTGCTGCTGTCTTCCGGATCCCAGCCAGGCAGGGGGGTGCACATTCTCCCTTCCACCTGCTACTTTGCATGAGGATGGGAAAGTGGCAGGAGCCCGGCACCTATGTATCAGCGTGGGGAAATTTTTTCTAGTCTCTTTGTGGGGGGAAGGAGAGGATGGAACAGTTTGCCTGGCCAGCTCTTTATCTCTTTGCTTCAGAATCTTTTGTTTATGGCATGAGCATTGATGTTTGTACTTAAAATGTTCAGGCTCTTGAAATCTGGGAAACATTTTCTCTCATAGCTATCAGCTTCATAAGTTTTCCATGAATCTCATATGGAAAGCCCTTGTCTGAGTGGTAGGAGAAGTATAGAGATGAAGGAAATTGCAGAGGATAAAAGTACACCTCTGAGTGTATCAGGATATTATCTGCCTTGGCTGGTGTGGCTCAGTGGATTGAGTGTCAGCTTGTGAACCAAAGGGTCACTGGTTCAATTCCTAATCAGGGCACATGGCTGGATTGCAGGCCCGGTCTCCAGTAGGGGGTGTGGGAGAGGCAACCACACATTGATGTTTCTCTCCCTCTCTTTCTGCCTCCCTACCCCCTCTCTAGAAATAAATAAATAAATACAATCTTAAAAAGGGATTATGTTGTTACACATGTACATGTGTAATTTCATAACAATATGCTGAGTACTATAGTCAAGGTACGGAATGCTAAGCAGATACAGAGGATGATACCTCACCAGGAGTTTTCTGACAGAAGAGACTTGTGCACTGAGCTGAAGATGAGTTGCTCTAGAGGAAAATGGGGAAAGGGCATCCTTAGAAAGTGAACGGTGTGAGCAAAAGCAACAGAGGCACAAAGAAGCTTGGTGTGTTAGGGGAACAGCGAATATTTCCACGTGCCTGGGATAGTGTGGGCATGGGGACACAGTAGGGCACAGGTGGCAAACACAAGGCCCATGGGCCGAACCTGGCCCTCCACCTTGTTTTATCTGGCCCGGCACCTTGTTTCTACCTGGTGGCAGCACCAAGCTCTCGTTTAACTGTTACACAGTCCTAAAATTACATTCAGCCCTTTGAAGGCAACCACGAGGCTAATGTGGCCTCCAGCGAAAATGAGTTTGACACCCTTGTAGGGGATACATAGACAATATTTCTTGAATAAAAGCAATGAATGAATGAATGAACATGGCAAGAGGCAAATGGCCCACTTGTGGATGGTTTTGTATGGCTCTATTGCAGATGTGATGAGAACACAGCTGTGTTTCATAAGATAATTTTGGTGGTAGTATGCAAAAGGTTGGAAACCTGAAGGTGTGCTAGAAGATCAGAAAGAAGGCAATTTCTCTCCTTTGGTAGCACATCGTTAGAGCCGCATAGGTCCATGCAGATTACCTGGTCAAACTCTCTCATTTGCAGATGAAGCCCAGAGGAGTTAGATGATTTGCTCAAGGTCACTTGGGTAGTTAGTGGCAGAAACAGGTTCACTGACTTCAAGTTTATGACTTTTCATGCATGTTTTTTTTCCCAATAAAGACCCATTTTAGTCATTTCTCTACAGGTGGTCCCGGGAGTGGATACAGACCTACCTTCGCATCCTACATTTCCAAATACACTGTACATGGTTCCCCTGGAGTCCAGGGCCCTGAGTTACAGCTTCTTTTCCTGGCGTGAGCTGAGGACTGGCTGTCATTCAGGAAATTGCAGATCCTCTCCCCCTCACAAGGTGGCACAGTTCCCTTATGGGGAATCTACTGGCATCTTCTTCAGCAGCCACTTAAGACATGGCTGAGGCTGAATGAGGCTGTGTATTTTAGTTTGGTTTTCTGGGGCTCAGCAGGACCCTGTTTCACTTGTAGGAGATGGTCTAAGACGAGTGGTTCACATGTTCAAACACAACACCACTGTCATAACGTGTGAACAGAGGAACTTTTCTTTTCACATGGAAACTTGAAAGCATGTAGCCTATTCTTTTGGTATCCAGTTCTTATTTATGAAGGCTTGGCTGTGGAGAAAACATATTCTTACTCTCTCTTTATCACTCCCTCTCTCCCTACCCACCTCTTTCTAAAGCTGGATAAAAATCACCTACATTTATAATGCCTCATGGGAGAAATTTTGCTTGTAATTTACTGTGAGAAAAATGGTTATTAAATTTTTTTTGTTTGTTTCTAACAAGAAAGGTAGAAAAATGCATTTAATATTTAGACAGCTCTTAGCTTTGGATTCTAGTCCTACTACTTTCTGGTTGTACGAATTCTAGCAATTTAATCCTTCTGAGTGAGACTCAGCTTCCTTGTATGTCAAATGGGGGATAATATGTATTTTAAAGAGTAGTGTGTAATGCATTTGAAATTAAAATGTGAAAGACTTTATACACTGTCCGGGAAATGCCAGGCGCTTTGTCACTGGTGGTCGTTATCCCAGGAGGCACAGACCTGTTTCCCAGTTTGCTCGGTCCCGGGAAACTCAAGCCAACTTTTATGTCTAAATACTACAGCTATAATATTCCTCATGGGTATTAAATTTACATTCTCCATTTACTCTCTACACACAACTGTGTATACAGCTGTCCCCTCAGCCCCTTCTATGTGGGTTTGCCCTCTGTGTTTTCAGTTACCTGGGGTCAACTGCAATCCAAAAATACTAACGGGAAAATTCCATAAATAAACAATGCATACATTTTAAGTTGTTCACTGCTATGAGCAGCTGTGATGAAATCCCATCCCTTTTTCCAGCATCTCCATCTTAGATGCTCTTCCTTTGGTAGTCACTAAACAGTCCTTGGTTCTGAGGTCAATGCCAAGGTACTGAAGTGCTTGGGCCCCAGAGAGCAAAAGTGGCGATGCTGGCAACTCTGAATGCCAAAGAAAAGCCATAAAGTGCTTCCTTTACATGAAAAGGTGAGGACAGTGTCATACAATATTTTGAGAGAGGAGAACTCACATTGATATAATTTTATTACAGTATAGTGTTATAATTGTTTTTTAAAACTAGTTTGCTGTTAACTTTTTACTGTGCCTAATTTATGTGTTAAACTTTTTCATAGGTATGCATGTATAGGAAGAAAACATAGTATACCTAGGGTTTGGTACTATCCACAGTTCTAGGCATCCACTCGGGGTCGTGGACATATCTCCCTTGGATAAGGTGGGGAGGCTATTATGATTGGAGGTAGTTTAAATAAAAGATATATATATTGTCACTATATATATATTTTATTTAACATAGATATTAAATATTTTATATAGATATTTTATTTAAATCACCTTGAACTAACTTAAAAAGAGTAAAGGAAACTATAGATTTAATATATTAAAAAATTTCCTCTGGGGCCAGAAACATTGTAGCCCACTTCACAAATACAAACTGGAAGAAAGTCATTTCTGATTCTGTAAGTCAGAGAGGCAGTACATGTTCACTGGATTTCCCTCAGGGTAAAAAGGAATGCACAGCTCTTTCAAATAGTGACATATATTTTGGGGGCACCTTGTTTGGTGCCG